GAGGAGGAAGAAGATGATGATGATGAAGAGGAGGAAGAAGATGAGGGGGTATGTGGTCGGAAACTGTTGCTCAGCGTGTTGCCCTGGCGGCCCCCGCGGCACGCTGCGCTCTGCAGGCGGGTAGCGTGTCGCTCTCTTCGCGGGGCGTGAAGCTCCGAGAGGCTCGGGACGTTGACGCCTCGTCACCGGGACGTGGTTAGCGTGTCGCGCCGAAGCGTGCTGGGCCAAAGCTGGCGGCGCGACACGCTAAGCAAACGTCCCAGACCGTAGGTCGAAAATTTTACGGAAGCCCCCGCTGCAAATACCTCACGGAGAGACTGGATCGTCAAAAAAGCTCTCGTTGGCCGCCAACAGTTCGTGCGCCGAGGGCCCTCCCCTCCTTTGTCCTTCGTCCTTCGTCCTTCTCCTCCTCCTCCTCCTCCTCTTCCTCCTCCTCCTCTTCCTCCTCCTTCGTCCTTCTCCTCCTCCTCTTCCTCCTCCTCCTTCCGACGGTCGTGCCCGCTGGGTGCGGCACTCGACTGGCAGACGAGGGGATCACCCTGGCGGTCGGACAGGCGGCGGCAGAGCCCGAGCCCCATTGAGATCGCGTCCCTGAGATCCGACGTAGCGAACAAATTGCAACATCGTTAAGAAAACACGCCCGGAGCCCCAGGCCCCATCCCTCTGCGCCAATTCTCGAGCCGGACCGATCTGTGAGGGCCCCGGGGCCAGAAGAGAGGCGAACACGCCCGGCTCGAGAAAGTTGCAACGCCAAGACCTCAGAACTCGTACGTTCGCCCAGTCCGTCGTTGCGCGCGCCGCTCCGCGCGGTGGGCCCTCGCATCGCCGCCCGGCGCCGCGCGCGCGCGTTTGCGCGGCTCACCGCTGGCGTTGTGGACGCCATGACAATGGACACCCTAACAATCCTGTCATTGAATAAAGATGTATCTTGCATGTTTGCAAGACATGTTCTAACAATGTTTGAAACATGGCTTTCATGTTCAAGACATGCTTACAACATGGCTCTCATGTTTAAGACATGCGTAGAACATTTCTAGACATCTGAAAGTCATTTGGCAACCTGCTTCCTCTCCAGTGATCGTCGTCCGCAACGCTGGCGCGGGGGGAGGCTCCACAACGCTGCGTGGTCGCCGTCACAGCGGCGAGGGGGCGGCGTCCTCTCGCGGCTGGCGGGGAGCGAACGCCTCATCGTTCCCTACAGGTGCGAAAACGACCAATTCTTAAAACGAGTTCTCAAATCTCCCACGATGATCCAAAACTCAACCTCACATTATCACCTTGCCTCTTCTTGCGGGATCGGCCAACTGGCTCCACCCTGCGCCCGAATTCCTCTCAGCGTATCTCTTCGAAGAGCTCTACGAGGTATAGGTAAACGTAAGTAAACGCTTAGAAACAAAAACCTTGGGAGCTCAATGTCTGGCCGATCGCCGGGCGATCACACACCCCCGATCACGTGATCGGATCACACTTCGGATCACGGCGACGATCATTGGGCGAGCACCGCAATGATCACAACGATCACGGGCCGATCGCGGTGATCCGACCGATGTCATCGGGCGAACCCGCTATCGGTTGCCGATCACAACCGATCAGGCCCCGTTCCTGATCATCCCCAAGAGGCCGTGGCGTCCGCGTACGCCCCCGTGACACGAACATCCCACGTGACACGGCTATCCAGGGGAGGGATCGAGCGTCGGAGGGACCCCGGGATCCGACGCCGCGAGCAGGAGTGCAGGGCTCGGGCGAAGGCAGGGCGAGGATAACATCGGATAGGATAGGATAGGATAGGATAGGACAGGATAGGATAGGACAGGATGATGATGATGATGATGATGATGATGATGATGATGATGATGATGATGATGATGATGATGATGATGATGATGATGAGGAGGAGGAGGAGGAGGAGGAGGAGGAGGAGGAGGAGGAGGAGGAGGAGGAGGAGGAGGAGGAGGAGGAGAACGGGTCGATTGAGCCCTTCGGAGAAACCCTCCAGGGTGGGGGGGGGTGCGGGGAGGGGCGAGGATGGTTGAGGGCGGCCAGGGGCACGGACGAGGAGGGAGGCAGGGAGGGCGGGCGGCTGACGGGGGGCGCGGCGAGGATGGGCGAACTCGGTGCGGCACGGGGCAAGGAGGGGGCCGGGGGAGGGCAGAAGGAGGGGAGGAAGAGATCGCCCCCCTTCCTCGCTTCCTTCCTCCCTCCCTCGTCCCTCCCTCCCTCCCTTCCTCACCCCTCTCCCCTGTGCCGCTGCTGCTTCCTCTTGCCATGCTTTTTCTCCCTCTCCTGCTCCTGCCCCCTCTTCCTGTTGCATCTCGTGCTGCTGGTCCCGCTCGGGTCGACATGCACTTGCAAGTATGGAGGAGCTTTCTCGACTTCAGCCCTTGAAGCGCCTGCGTAGGTCTTTCAATGAAGGAGGTTTCCAAGAGGAGCAAACTTACGAAGCGCTTGCTTCTCTTCGATACTAGACGGCATACCAGCACATCTTTTCATCTGAGATCTTCCCCATCCTTCTCCCGTCTCCTTCTCCTATTTCTCCTCCTCCTCCTCCTCCTTCTACTCCCTCCTCCTCCGCCTGCTCCTGGGGGGTCCTCTTTCTCTTCGTCGTTCGGCTGGAATTTCGCGTCTGAGGCACGGTTTTCGGGCATAGCGTCTGGCCCGCTCCGTTGCCGCCGGCGTCGACGCCTGACGGCATGAGCACTCAGTCCGAGAGGCCGACCCGCCCACGCAAATCATGCGCCCAGATGCGCCTCCGAAAAATCAGATAGTGTACAATAGGGGGAGGGAGAGGGCAAGGGGAGGCTGGACACAGCCACTGGGGTTGCCCAATTCACCCTCTTTCCTCGGTCCGAGCCTCTCTCTCTCTCTCTCTTTTTTTTGTTTCCCTCTCTCTCTCTCCCTGCCTTTATCCCTCCCCGCCTCCCCTCTCCCCCTCCCCGTGCAGAGTGTGGGGGCCGCTTGTCCATGGAGGCGCCGCTCGGAGCCGGTGCCGCTGCAGTGCAGCATCGTGCGCCGGTGTCCAGGGCGACGACAGAGGCGATGAGCTCGACGAGTCCGTCTTGTCTCTGCTCCACAGGTCTCTGCTGCCGCGCTTTCGCGACAGTGGAGCAGCGAAATCCCATGGATGCTTGCTGGCGGCCTGGCAGGGTTTCTGCAGTCGACCAACTCCAGATCGGCAAGGAGCCAATGTGTTCTGGCTTCAGATCGGCAAGCTATCGCCAAGGCCCCCCCGCATTGCCCCGAATGGGCCCGCGAGGGTCCCCCAATACGGTCCCGAGACGGCCTGAGATTTTTTTATGTAAAAATATGATTATATATAAGAATTGTATAAATATATGTTTTTTTTTGTGTGTAGATATATGATTTTTTTGTGTAACATATTTTTTGTATAAATATAAGAATTCCCCAAAGCGGTCCAAAGACCCGCCCACGCGTCCCCAAGATGGTTCAGAGCCACCGCGCCCAGAGCCATCGAGCCAGCGCGCCCAGAACTTTCCGAGCTCCCCGACGGGCGCCCAACGAGCCCCCTGGATGCACCCAAATGGGGCTCCGACCACGCACCCAGGACGCCTCCAACAGGACGGCGGGAGGGGCGAGCGAAACCGCGGACGAGGAGGGAATGTTTCAGACCCGGACCAGCTCAGCCAGGGCACCGAACTGGAACTGAACCTCACTCCTTCTGCACTGGTGCGTTGGCGGGGCCTGCCCCAAGCTGCCGTATACAAAGGTCCTTCCCCTTTGAAAACTGCATTTCTTGACTTCCAACCCCGTCCCGTCGAAGCCACCACTCTATCACACATGCGTGAATCTAGCATGAAAATGTGGCTTTCAATCGACGCTTTGCTGTCTGGGTGGAGCAATCCAGAGAGATGATGTGTCGGAGTTCACAGTGCAGCGTTCACGAAACGAAAGCCTTCACGGCTGCAATGAACGGATGATGACAACTAGTGGCTTTTCAAGCAGGGCTAGCGGCAAGTCCCCCGCGACTGCGTGCTCAACCTCGCAAAACTGTTAGTGACGGCCCCTACCGAGGACTTTGGTATATACGCCACCGCTGGCAATGGAATACGCCCATCCGTCCACGAGTCTCACGGCATCGCTCCCGCAGACGCTGACAAACTGCACTGGTAAGTTCAAGTGTGACGTTGCCGGAACTTCCCGAAGTCCGCATGCTGACTGGCTGAGCGGCTTTCACCCGTGCGAGATGATTATGAACCGTGGCATGCGCGCTGGTGACACCAACGCGGCGGAGTTCGCTACCTGCGCGATTGACAACGTCGAGGCGAACACTGTCGCCATCTCGTCGCCTCCAGGTGGGCACCATCTTCATGGGCTTTACAGCACTCCCTGGGGATTCGGCGCAACGGCTGCACATCACGAAGTGGCTAAATGCTGGGGGACGCCCGTGCCTGCATGGCCACTCGGATGAGCACCGGCGGCTTCTCAGATCGGATCTCCTGGCGACGATGCTCGATAATGATATCAAAATAACTCACCCCCGCCCCGAGAGCTGATGGACAATCTCGGTATGAATATGCACGCCGATACTAGCCGAACCACGCTCACGAATATTCTTGCGCGGCAGGCAATGTCGGCCGACAGATGCATATATTGTGTTCCCTGGCCCTGCTATGTCTATTGTGTAGTCGCTCAACTTTTGTGCTCTCGCATCGTGTGGAGTGCGAGCGCCTTTCAAAACAGCAACCAATATAACATTGCGATCTGACGATGGAGTCGGACGAGTAGCGTGTGGCCTTGGGATACTCTGCTGCAGGCAATGTTTTGTGCGAGGTGGTGACGTTGGATATTTCTATGCGCTAAGACATCACGTTTCCCGTTGAACTCATTGCGTTGAGTTGTGCATTCGCCATAGGGAATCACCTTTACGGCAATATACATACGTTTGCTTTAGTCCTCCTTCAGCACGTTTCACGAAGCTAAGAACTGTCGCCCTATGTATGGATGATGCTGTCGGTGCTGCAGATCGGTCTAATGACTTCGGAGGGCTAAAGAAAGGCGCTTGAAGAACTCCTTTGCCGTTGGCATAACTTGTGCCCATTGACTCACGATCAGTCATCCTGGGGAGGGCGCTCGAAGACCACAGTACCAACCCCGAAACCAATCTAAGACGACGCCGGCGAGACACAACCAGCCACATTCGCCTACACTTTTCAGTCCAATTTCATGGTTATCTTTTACTGCTTTTTCTGCGGCGCTCGTTCGAGTCTCTGTACAGCGCAGTGCAAAGAAGCGAACGGCGATTAGAGCATTTCTGTGCAGAGGGCAATAGCTGGAGAGGGAAGAGGGAGGAGCCCGCCGAGAAGGAGGACCAACAGGAAGAGCAAGCGGAACAGTGCATGCCTGGGGCCGCGTCCGCTGTGTGCAAGACGGCTCGCGAGCTTCTGCGACCTTCAGAACGACACCCCTATACTTAATTAAGTCGGGCATGTCCTCCTACAGGCGGATTTTGGAAGAAACCTAAAACATAGTCAAACACTAATCAGACACAGTCAAAAGAGTACGAAACATCGTCGCCAGATAATCTGAAATACTCCGCCTGTAGAAAGACATGCCCGACTTAACCCAAAACCTTCCCGACTTTCTGCTTCTTTCTTTTTCGCACCCCCGGCTCCTGGCCCCATCCCAACCGGCTAGCTGTGTACATGCAGCACCTGTCCGGTGCCCCCTGCAACCGGGGGTGGACCGAACCCCTTCTAGAAAAACACCCCTTATAGTGAAAGCGACCCCGGGACCAGGCCTGGTGGGCGCAGTCCCGCAACAAAACACCTTTTCGAGAACCGACAGGGGCCATCCGCCAATCGCCTTGGCAGGGTGGGGGTTCTATCCTCCTCCGACGATCACGATGGCGCCGCTCACGCGAAGGGTCCGTCGTCCTCCGGCGCCAGCGCCGCGACCGACAGCCGCCGTGGCGGAGTGCGCGCCTTCTCCGCCGAGCAGCTCGAACACTCCTCGCCGAAGACGCGCGCGACCTCTGGGGCGAGGTGGGGAGAGGGCGGAGCGATCGGAGGGAGGAGGAGGAGCAGGAGGATGAGGAGGAGCAGGAGAAGGAGGAGGAAGAGGAGGAGATGGAGCAGGAGTAGGAGGAGGGGGAGGAGGACGAGGAGGAGGACGAGGAGGGGGAGGGGAGGGGAGGAGGAGGAGGAGGAGGAGGAGGAGGAGGAGGAGGAGGAGGAGGAGGAGGAGGAGGAGGAGGAGGAGGAAGAGGAGAAGGAGGAGGAGGGAGAGCGACCTCTGGAGCGAGCTCCAGCGTCGCCTCCGGTGAGTCCTCCGGCTGGGCGGCCACCGTGGGCCTCGAGCCGCCGGCCCCCCGCTGGCGGGCCGCCGCCGGCGCGGGCGCAAGCCTGCCCTCGGCGTGGTCTCGCCGCGCCGCGTGGATCGCGGTGCTGATGCGGTCCAGCTCGCGCATGGAGGTGCCGTACGCGCTCTTCGCGGCCTTGGCGCGGTGTCCTCCTCCTCCTCCTCCTCCTCCTCCTCCTCCTCCCTCCTCCTCCTCCTCCTCCTCCTCCTCCCTCCTCCTCCTCCCTCCTCCTCTTCCTCCTCCTCCTCCTCCTCCTCCTCCGTACGCGCTCATCGCGGCCCTGGCGCGGTCGGCGAAGGCGCTGATGCGATTCTGCTCCGAGGCCAGCTTCAGCTGCTGCTGGTGCAGCTGCCGGAAGCACGGCAGCGTGCGCTTGATCGTGGCGTCGCCAATGTGAGCGCGCCATGCCTCGAGGTCCCTCTGGCTCTTCTGGTACTCCTTGAGCGCCTTCGCGTACTCGCCCTCGAGCCGGTCACGCTCCCGCTGGCACCGGGTGACCTCGACCGTCGCGCGCGAGAGGCCGTCCTGCATTTCCCCGTCGAGGAGCACGTTGTGCGAGCCTGGCTCCATGATCCTTTCCAGCTCGTTCAGGCGCTCCTTCGCGCGCGCGTGCTGGGAGGAGGCGGTGGAGAACTCTCGCACGGCGCCCTGCACCCTCTGCGACGCCGCCGCGAACACCTGCGCGGCGTCGAAGTACGGCTTGACGCGGTCGATGGCGCTGCCGAACTGAGCGTGCAGGGACTCGTACATCTGGCTCCAGTCGGCCAACAAGTCCTGGTACCGCCGTTGTGCCTCTCCAGCTCGCGCCTCGAACATGTTCACCTCCGCGGAGGTGCGGTTCATCGACTCCAGCAGCAGGGGGACCTCCTGAGACAGCTGCTCCTCCAGGGCCGCCAGCGCGCTGGGCACCTCTCTTGAAAGTGCGCACTCCACGGGGGTATCCTGGCTTGGGCAAGGGGCCGCTGGCTCACCGTCCTCGTGGCCGCTCATCTCTGGGTCGCGCATCGGCGCGGGGGCGCGGCGCGGTTGCAAAAGTGTCGAAACAACGCTGGCTGCACCCCCCTTGAGCCGAAACGGCTACGGACTCGGTCCAGGTCCCCACTCGGGCGCAAGGGCAATCATCCGCCGCCTTCTGCGGCTGTCCAAGAGGAAGCGACGCAGTGGCGAGTGCAGATCTTGCGTGTGCCTGGCTCCCTTGGCAAGCTGTGGGGTGAGGGTGCGGGCAAGGAGGCTGCAGCTGTCAGGAGAGGCACGTCCATTCTTGCACTTTCATGGGAGTAGCCGTGTTACAAGACAGGCATCTGTCGCACATGCATGTGACATCAATACGCAGAGTTGCAGGTGCACGCGTGCGTCCGGGGCGGTTGAAACGCACTGAGGTCCGGACGCAGCTTTCTTCGAGTCTCACGCACGCGCCACTTGCCCAATCAGAATCGACATGCACTTTCATATCGATATGCTTATGTAGGTGAACATATGTACACACATGTACGTGTGTATGTATGGGTAGCTATCTGTATATATATATATAGATATATGTATATATGTATATATGCATATATGTATATATGTATATATATGTATGCATATATTTGTATATATGTATATATGTATATATATATATATATGCATATATATATACACATATATATATATGTATTTATTTGCCCAGTGTTGCGCGAGGCGTACCAAGTCATATTATATTTAAAGTGCCGCTCAACCACCCTCGTGGTAGAGCTCCCTCCGGGCAGCCGCTCCAGGTGAGAGGCAGATCGTGCTTCAGCGATGCACTACACGCATTACCGCTAGGGAAGACGACGGGAGCCGAGTCCAGCGGAGCGCCTTCGGGAGGCACGCGGTGCCAACCCGGGCGCAGCGCGACAAGCCGAATCCAGCCGTAGTGAGCGTCGTAACGGCACGGCGTGGGCAGCTAGCCGGATCCAGCCGTGGCGGGCGCCGTGCCAGTGGGCACAGCATAAAAGGAATAAAAAGGGGAAAACGCCGTAACGGCGCGCCGGGGCAGCTGCACACAATGGTATCCAGGGCGCCTGGCGGCCATACGGACAGGGCAGGGCGTCGGGAGGCGTCCTACGCTGTCACTGCGAGTCGAAGGTGGGGGCCGACGCCTGCGCAGTGGAGGGGTCACACACGCCAAGTATGAAGAGGGCTCCGTCGTTCGGCAAGTGCGGGAGTATCTCGGAGAGCGGTTTGTCAGCTTCGACGGCCGAAAGGCCCTCTTCGCTGTGGAGCTGAAGAGCAAAACTGTGGGTGCGGAGCATGTGGACCTTTTTAGCGGTCTGGTGGGCCACCCGGAAGAGGTGCGGCGGGCGGTGAATCAACTTTGCGGTCACCGCGGAAGGCTCGAAGTCGACCGAAGGGCTGCTGGTCGCGAACTTGATGAATACGGGGATGGGCGCGGAGCCTGTGCCTTCGAGCTCCGCGCGCATGTCCTCGACAGTGCCGAAAATGACGTCGTCCTCCACGTCGTCGTTGAATTCCGCGGTCAGGGCGCCGAGCGCGGGAAACGAGGGGATTGCGGGCAGAGACACGTCCTCGATGCCTGACTTCACTCGCGGGGTCGCCATGGCACCCTCGGTTTCTTCGTGGGCACCGTGGGCTGTGTCTTCGGTCGCTTCTGAACCTCGGTCGTCTTGTGCACCCAGGGCTCGTAGGCGAACTGCACTGGCGATCGAGGGCGCTTCGATGCCGGAATGTGCCTCGGGCTCGGGGGCACTGCGCCAGCCGCCGCCCGTTGCTTCCGCTCCTGCCGATGGCGCCGCCGCTGCGCGGTCACCAAGGCTGAGAGGGGAGAGTCCTCCCGTCCGGGGACGTGCGGCTGGGGCGAAGGGCTCGGTTCGGTCGGCGGCCCAGGCGCGGGCGACGCTGGGGAGGGGCGGGCTCCCTCGGTGCGGCCACGCCGGGTCTGAGCAGGAGCGTTCGTTGCAGTCAGGGCCACTGTTCCGGTGCTGATGGTGAGTGTTGGCTCCTGGCTGGGGGCTCCCTGAAGGAACCGCTTGAGAACGCTGGTGGGAGCACGAGCCGCTATGTGAAGCAGCATCTGGTTGACTTCGTCCTTGGACATCGTGGACGTGCGCCGCTCCAGCTCCAGGATCTGCTCGCGCGGCTCCTTCCCCGGAGGGGGGCGCGAATGGCGCTCCGCTCGATGGGAGTCCGCCGGCTCCGTCCGCGGAGGGGGGCGCGAGGGGCGCACCGCTCCGGGGGAGGGCTCGGGCGACGCCTGCATCGCAGGGGAGCGCGAGTGGCGCTCCGCTCGATGGGAGGGGCCGGCTGGCTCTGCCTGCGGATGTGGACGCAGTTTGGGCGGCGCCTGCGCCAGAGGGGGGCGCCAGTGGCGCTCCGCTCGATGGGAGGGGCCTGTCTGCTCCGCCTGTGGAGGGTGGCGCGAGGAGCGTGCCGCTCTGGGTGAGGGCTCGCGCACCGCCTTCCTCGGAGGGGGGCGCGAGTGGCGCTCCGTCCGATGGGAGAGGCTTGTCTGCGGAAGGGCAGTAGCACTCGGCGCCGCTAGATTCGGCGGTGCCCATATCCCGGGAGGGTATGTCGGGGACGGCGCCCTGTACTTGCGCGACTCCGCCCTCAGGAGGGGACGCGAGGTGCGCCCCGCCCTGGGGGAGGGCGCGGCCGGCTGAACTCTCTGAAGGGGGCGCGAAGGGCGCTCCGCTCGTGGGGGAGACTCCGACGTCGAGGTGGACGGGTGGGACTCCGAGTCCGACGGCTCCGACTGGGGAGGGGCCAAGCCAGACTTGGAAGCCCTCGGGGACGAAGACTGTGACCCATCTGCCGGGCACGACGCCCGGGGGGTCGCCAGCGCAGCGGCCATTGAACATAGACCACGGCGGTGGGGCACTCCGCGACGCAGACCTGCGAGGGGCAGGCTGCGTAGCGCTGCAAGGGCAGCGCCAGCCTCAGCAGCCGCACGTGCCGGCCGACGGCGGGCTGCCGCGCGCGCGGGGAGGGGCCCGGGACGCGCGCGGCGGTGCCACTTGAGCCAAAATGGCTACGGATATATATATATATATATATATATATATATATGTATGTATGTATGTATGTATGTATGTATGTATGTATGTATGTATGTATGCATATATATATATATATATATATGTATATGTGTGTGTGTATATATATATATGCTAGCCCCCCCCCCCCCCAGCACCCCACCTTCGACGCGATGGCGGAACTATAATCAAGATTGTCATGTCTGTTTGGGTGGATGGTCGCTAGTGATGGCTTACTTGTGTTTCACATGCTCGGCTGGACCCTGCATGTGAATCGCTACTTGTATCTCGTCACTGCACGTACGGAATGCGATTGCTCACGGGCTGCAGATGCGTCCACATAGCGCTATACACAATGCGTTCGTAGCACTAATATTGACGTAGATGGCATAGGATAACATACAAAAGCGACGCAGACCCATATAATTGCGGGCGACAGAGAAGCTCACGACCTGCTGCACCCATCTTTTTCGTTGCGCGAGTTCCTGCAAACGAAACATCCATGGACACGCGCGTGGCGCGCGCGGAGAGGACCAACGAAAACAATTGTTTTCAAAAGTTTCCCATTGAAGACATTGCAAAACCATTTGTTTTCATGTGTATTCCGCCACAAAAAAACTTTTGTATTCCGCCACAAAGGGAATCCTTTTGTATTCCGACACAAAGAGAATCCTTTTGTATTCCGCCACAAATGGAATCCTTCTGTATTCCGCCACAAAGGGAATCCTTTTGTATTCCTCCACAAAAGGAATCCTTTTGCATTCCTCTACAAAAGAAATCCTTTTGTATTCCGCAACACAAGGAAATCCTTGTGTATTCCGCCGCAAAAGGAATTCCTTTTGTATTCCGCAACAAAAGGGGTCCTTTTGTATTCCGCCACGCAAGGGTTTGCTGTTGTAATTGATAGAAGGGACAACTATTGAAAACCATTGGTTTTGTTGTTTTTTCTGCATTGGTTATAACGTTTGTTGGTTTCCGCTTTGTTTTTGTTGGGTTTCGTGTTTTTGTTGGTTTTCTGGGTTCTCACCCTACTCCGTTGCTAACAGGGCAGCCGCAGGCCCAGGGGCAAAAGCAGAACACCAACAACAACACGACATCCAACAAAAACAAAACGAAAACCAACAAAATTAATAACCAAGACAGAAAAAAAACCAACAAAACCGATAGTTTTCAATAGTTTTCCATTGAAGACGTTGCAGAACCATTTGTTTTCATTTGTATTCCGCCACAAAAAGAATCCTTTTGTATTCCGCCACAAAGGAAATCCTTTTGTATTCCGACACAAAAGGGATCCTTTTGTATTCCGCCACAAATGGAATCCTTCTGTATTCCGCCACAAAGGGAATCCTTTTGTATTCCTCCACAAAAGGAATCCTTTTGTATTCCACTACAAAAGAAATCCTTTACTATTCAGCCACAGCTGGAAATCCTTGTGTATTCCGCCACAAAGGAACTCCTTGTGTATTCCGCCGCAAAAGGGGTCCTTTTGTACTCCGCCACACAAGGGTTTGCTGTTGTAACTGATAGAAGGGAAAACTATTGAAAACCATTGGTTTTGTTGGTCTTCTGGCCTTGGTTATTAATTTTGTTGGTTTTCGCTTTGTTTTTGTTGGATTACGTGCTTTTGTTGGTTTTCTGGTTTCTCACCCTCCTCCGTTGCTAACAAGGCAGCCGCAGGCCCAGGGGCAAAAGCAGAAAACCAACAAAAACACGACATCCAACAAAAACAAAACGAAAACCAACAAAATTAATAACCAAGGCAAGAAAACCAACAAAACCGATAGTTTTCAATAGTTTTCCATTGAAGACGTTGCAGAACCATTTGTTTTCATTTGTATTCCGCCACAAAAAGAATCCTTTTGTATTCCGCCACAAAGGAAATACTTTTGTATTCCGACACAAAGGGAATCCTTTTGTATCCCGCCACGAATGGAATCCTTCTGTATTCCGCCACAAAGGGAATCCTTTTGTATTCCTCCACACAAGGAATCCTTCTGTATTCCACTGCAAAAGAAATCCTTGAATATTCCGCCACAGAAGGAAATTCTTGTGTATTCCGCCACAAAAAGAACTCCTTGTGTATTCCGCCACAAAAGGGATCCTTTTGTATTCCGCCGCACAAAGGGTTTGCTTTTGTAACTGATAGAAGGGGAAACTATTGAAAACCATTGGGTTTGTTGTTTTTTTTGCCTTGGTTATTAATTTTGTTGGTTTTCGCTTTGTTTT